ATATAATGAGACCACTCCTTAAAATGAGTACGTGAGACTCAATCTTAATCACTCACTTTGTCTAGATCAAAATCAATTAAAATATATATTAATTAAATAATAAAATAATTATTAGTTTACTCCGGCGTCGACCCGTTGACAAATAACCTAGCAGCAAGAAATAAATAACCTAGCAACAAAAGACAACTAACCTAGCAGTAAGAAAGAAATAACCTAGCAACAAAAGACAACTAACCTAGCAGCATCAGACAACTAACCTAGCAGCAAGAAAGAACTAACCTAGCAACAAAAGACAACTAACCTATCAACAAAACACAACTAACCTAGCAACAAAAGACAACTAACCTAACAACATAAGACAACTAACCTAGCAACAAAATTCAGCGTTCCGCTTTCAGTAGTTTAGGATTTTTGCTTTCATTTGTAGAGATTTTATTTTATTTTATTTATTTTTTCGGGCATCTGTTAGCCCGAAGATCGACTTTGTATTGTAGTTTCTATTTCTTTTTTGTTTTTCTGCTTTGATTTCGGTTAGTGAGACTCTGTAGACTATTGTATCTTGCTCGTTGATATTTTGGGCCCCGATTTTGGGGCCCTGATCTATGCATAGGTTGGGGATCTAGCCCAACCCCCGCCCTTTCGGGGCATTGTTTGTTAGAAAAAAAATTCAACTAACCTAGCAGCTACAATTAACTAACCTAGCAACAACAGACAACTAACCTAGCAACAAAACACAACTAACCTAGCAGCTAAAGATAACTAACCTAGCAACAAAAGACAACTAACCTAGCAGCAAGAAATAAATAACCTAGCAACAGAAGACAACTAACCTAGCAGCAAGAAAGAAATAACGTAGCAACAACAGACAACTAACCTAACAGTATCAGACAACTAACCTAGCAGCAAGAAAGAACTAACATAGCAACAAAAGACAACTAACCTAGCAGCAAGAAAAAAATAACCTATCAACTTAAGACAACTAACTTAGCAACAAAACTCAACTAACCTAGCAGCTACAAATAACTAACCTAGCAATAACAAACAACTAACCTAGCAACAAAACACAACTAACCTAACAAGAAAGAAATAACATAACAACAAAAGACACATGGTCAACGATCAACGCCGAAAGTCAACGATTTTCGTCGGAAGTCAACGCCGGAAGTCAATGGTCAATGCCGGAGTCAACGGTCAATGGTCATAATAATATTTAAATAATTAAAAATAAAGAATTAAATAATAAAAATAAAGAATTATTATTTAAATCAAGATTTAAATCTTGTGGCTAGGAATGAGTCTCACGTCCTCACTTTAAATAAGCGGATGCATTTGAACCAATCCCTATATATATATAGATTAGTTGTAAGTTGTAACTATTATATGATAAATAGTAAAAAAGTATTTTTACACTTAATTAATGCAAAATATAACTATTAGTTTCACAATTAAATGAAAAAACACTGAGGGGGAAACTTTTGAGAGGGCATTAATTAAATAGCGCAACTTTATAAATATATCCAACGAGTCAACTCAGTTAAAATGAGTACATGAAACTTAATCACAGTTATTGATTTTGTGTTAATGAATGGTTCATATTAATAAATTAGAATACACATTAATTGAATAATAAAAATATTAACTGTTATATTTAAATTAATTATATAATAAATAAACTAAAAAATAAAATTGACTGGTGGCGGATCGCCGAAAAAATTTGAGGAAGGTAAGACTTAAACTATTAATTATGAATATGATGTCTCTGATGATGATGCAAATCAAGATAGTTGTGCGGATCTGGTGCACTAATTGGCCATGAAAAAATGCTTACGAGCAGCTGAAGTAATGAAGAACTTTAGCGGTCAAGTCAAAATACTTAAGGCTGAGGCTAATTCAAATGAATCAACTGAAGAAGTTGATTATCTGAAGTAAGAAGTCTAGAAGTTGAGGGAGATAAATGAATCTCCCAATGACAAACTAATGTCTTCATTCACTTATGGATTTTTGTTTAGAAGCTGATAAATGCTCTCATTAGTGAAACTCATAATCTAATCCTCGTATAACTTGGCCTTCATCTGGCTTAGATCTAATCCTCCGTATGGCTCCCAGTGTCACCTCCGGCCGCGTTATCCACCATATATTGCAATGTTTGATGAAAATCGTCGTAAAAGAATTGATGTAAGACCCCGAGGAAAAAGTGATGATGTGGCATTGAAGTTGATATCCTTTAAAACGCTCACTCCTCATGGAAAGTCTCTCCCAGCACTTGGCTAAAGCTCGTCATTTGGGATCAAAGGTCCGTCATCTTTTGGTGAGTGAGAGTAGTACTTCCATATTAATTTCTCATACACCGTCTTCCAAATTAGTAAGTGAATTCGGAAGGAGGGTCATAAACCATGTCTTCGCCCGGTCCTTCAAGGTGTAAGAAAAACACCGCATCCGGAGTTGGTTCTCGTTGAGGCTTTGTAGAGGAAAAGTGTTCACCGTCGCATAGAATTCTCGAATGAAGTTCAAGACATCCTCTTAAAGAAGGGCATAGAAGGAGGGTAATTGATTGATATGGATGGTCTCCAAGTCATAGTTCCTCGCTGCCTCACCAAAAACGAGGCATGACGTGTTGTCGCCTGTGATTGGGCAAGCAAAATACCTCATGTTCAGAGGCGGTGGTGGTAATTGTTCTCCTTGATTTGCCATGGTTCCTGGCTCGGGTTGTGTCTTGTCTATGTGTTGCTTAACGCATATTTCATCCTGTGGTGTCCTCTTTCGAGTACCTCAACTCCGCATACACACAAACAACAAACTATACCCCTGAAGGAACCAATGAGAAACAAGAAACCAAATCAAGAAATAAACACTAACTAATTACTAAAAACAAGAGAAAGCAAGAGAAACACAAATATTAAGCAAAGGTGCACAAAAATCAAGAGAAAACGAAAACAAAAGACAACTAGTGAGTAAATTTGAGGTCCTACTTGTCTTCCCCGACAACGGCGCCATTTTGTTAAGTTGTTTTTAGCTATATTGTTAAGATCTCCTCGAGTCGTCTTCTCAAGGAAGGTGATTTCGAGCTTCGTTTACAAACTAGATGCCAAAAGCACAAAAAAGAATGAAAATAAAACCCTAGACATTCTAAGCAATTGACTGGGGTTGATTTTTGAATAATTTAAACTAAGTACTTGAAAGCAATTTAACTAAAAGAGCAAGCTTGGAATAAATTTCTAACCTTTACTTGTATCGGAGTGTTCAAAACCCGCAAAAAGACGCAAACAAAGAGAAATAAGCTCGACTTAACACAACTAGAAGCTAAAGTTGAACGAACAATTACGAAATAATCAACTTTTAATCAAAGTCTTGACTTTTACCTCGAAAGATTCAAGCTTTAACAACCTAATTACCTTAGGCAAGCAAAATAAGAAAAATTATGAAAACTTTAACTAAAGTCGAGCTCAACACAGAACTATTTTCACCTCTTAAAACAAAGAAAGCAAAAATAGAGCAAAGATCGAGATAAAAAGTCCTAAAACTAGATACTTCCCTAATGCATTTCTGAGCGAAATAGACATAAAAAGATCAGAATTTTACTAAGAAAAAGCATCGCCGATAAAAGTCACCGTAAAATACGAGTTTGAACCTCCACAAGCCTAAGTCTACAGAGGAAAATAAGAAAAAGAACAATTCTAAAGTGGAAAACTAAGAAAATGAGGTCTTCATCCCAAAATACAAAGGAACTAAGAGTATTTATACATGCACCCAAAACACACACTCGAAAAGCGCACATTAAAGGAAGAACACTCGCAATCTAGCCAAAACACCCGCTGGTCTAGGCACTCGCGCGGTCGCGGGCTAGGGCGTTGGGTGGAGTGTGCGGGCGCGGTGACGTGGGCACTCGCGAGCAGGTACATGAGAAGCACGGCACTCGCTAGCTGGCCGGATAGATGCGGGGTGCGGGCTTCGGCCACACTCGCTGAGGCGCGGAGTTACTCGTTGGGCGAACAGGAACTCGCGAGTAGCAGAGCACTCGTGACCTCACGGGTGCTACTCGCGTGCGGTGTGCAGACTCACGAGCTGGTCAGGCTGACTGCTAGGTCGCGAGCTGGTCTCGGCGACAGCGTGCGAGTATCTTGGGGGAGGCACGGGTCTCACTGGGCAAGCAGAACTCTACCTTGGCAGGCACGTGTCTCTAAGGCAGCGCGCAGGCGCGTGAATGGTCTTTCGGCGACGCGGGCAACGAGACTTAGGTCTTCTCGACATCAGCTCGTATTTCATCGAATAGCGACGGGATTTTCTTGGGCAACTCTCCGAAATGAAATTTTCCTTCAAAATAAAGTATAAAAAGAGAAAAAAAAGCACAAGACACCAAAATGACACGAAATATACAAAAACGAGCAAAAACGACTAAATGGATGAGGAAAAACATAGAATAAAAGAAAACCAACAAAAATAAAATACATAAAAACACGCGTAATAACAACAAAAACATACAAAACAGGGATGTGTTAGTTAACATTTCATGTCATTTTTGACGGACTAGTGGCATTCCGATTTTTTAAAAGTTATGCGACAAGTATTGGTCAATTGTATTCCAGTCGGACTACTTTATACACAACCCTAGTTATGAAACTATTTTTTTTTTCTTTTTGTAAGTAACCAGATAAAGAATAAAAAAATATGTATAAACCCATGAGAATTACAATCTCAAAGCATCCTAGATAGGGTATCATGTGTGATCAACTCCAACCTAAACAATGGCTTTTATTTAAAAAAAAAAAAGATATCTTGGACTTTAGTCTTTTTTAGCCTTTTACATATTCCATATCATAGTTGCTTTTATAGCCTTTAATAACATATATTCCTCTTAATCAGAACGTAAGAGAAAGGATTTGGGAGAGGAATTAAAATAAGAAAAGAATTAGACCCCTCTCTTGCTTTAGGGCTTCTAATTCAAAAAAAAATGCTCGAAAACCTACCAAAAAAAAAAAATGTGAACTGTCTCTCTCTAACACAAGCGCGCACACACACACTCTCTCTCTTTTGCTTGCTTTACGTGCAATATTCTCTCTCCAATAATCACGAACCACAATCGACCCGTGCGAGTGGGCCCCACCCCGCATTTTCATCTCTGCCGATCAAGAGAGAGGTTCTGAAAACAATAAGGATTATAAGGAGGGTATTTTAATATAGGACTCTATCTGTACAAGTGTTTGTTTGTTCTTTTGCTTTTTGTTTTTCTTCTTATTACTTGTGACGGTCCTTTGGTGGGGGACTCCCTTGCCCTTCTCCTCCTTCAATTCCTCCATATTATTGTATTATTAACTTGTTGCCTGTTTCTTCTAAATTGTACCTTTGTGTGTTATTATTATTATTGTATCACCCCCACAACCAAACCCTTTCTACTTATTACCCTCACAGTCTCCCTCTCAACTGTTCTCTGTGTGAGTACAGTTGCAGTAATATATGCTAATTATGGAGTAAAACTTCTTCTGACGAAGACGAAGAAGATCAAGTTTGATTGCCCCATTAACAGCACTATAGTTAGTCAATTTCTACTTTATACTATGTATGTATATAATCATGAATTGTCTCTCTTTCTCAATCTTTGATCTTCTTCTTGTTCTGAACAATTTTTCTCGAAGACCCTACTTTTTAATTTCACACAAGATTTGGAAAACAAATAGTTAGGAAAAAGAAGAAAACTATATTTGTGCAAGTGAAAAATTCAATATACAAGGATCAAAATAGAATTTCGTCAAATCGAAGAACAAAAAGAAAAGAGCAGTACTGGCGAGCACTCGGCGGCTTCAGGTGTCGGAATCCGGCGCCTTTGGCGATTGGGTGACGTCATCTTCCACCTCAGCCGGAGACCTCTCCTTAGGGTTCAATGCCGGCCCACCCGCCGCCAACACCGGAGCAATTTGGCCCTCCTCCTCCTCCTCCTCCAGGCTTCCCCCGGAGCTCTTCTTCGTCTCGCCTGCGCCGGCGGCGCCGCCGCCCTACCACGGCCAGGACACGGCGGCGTCCACCATCAGCTTCGACCCCCACCCCCTCGGCATCGGCGTCATCCCTCTCCTCACCGCCAACCCTTACCCTCTCGGCGCCACCAACGAGGACGGGCTGGCCGCCGCCGCTCGCATGCACGATTACCTAAAAAAAGCTACGGCCGATCTCCATAAGGGCCCCTCCGCCGCGGCGCCGGGAACCACCTCTTGCCAGGACTGCGGCAACCAGGCCAAAAAGGACTGCTCTCACGGGAGGTGCCGGACTTGCTGTAAGAGTCGGGGCTTCAACTGTTCAACCCACGTGAAGAGCACGTGGGTCCCGGCCGCCCGCCGCCGTGAGCGCCAGCTCATGGCCGTGAACCCCACCGCCGCCGCCGCCGGATCTTCCCAATCCACCTCGGGTGCCCCCAAAAAACCCCGACTCGCTTCTCAAACAACTTCTCACACCTCCACTTCTAACAACAACGCCAACACGCCTAGAAGCTTCGATACAAGCTCAAGCCATCAAGGTAATTAATTACATAAATCTCTTTGTTTTTTTAATAATGTCAATTTATGGTAAGAAATTAGGGGTATTGAGATATTTCTTTTGTTTTGTTTTAAAAAATAAACATAAAGATGCGGGATTTAAGGAGTCGTTGCCCGGGCAAGTAAACGCGCCGGCAGTTTTCAAGTGCGTGAGAGTGACAGCTGTCGATGATGGCGGAGAAGATGAGTATGCTTATCAGGCGGTTGTGCGAATAGGAGGGCATGTTTTCAAAGGCTTTCTATATGATCAAGGGTTTGAGGGAAAAGACGTATTAGTCCCCAATATATCCGATTTGCATTTGGGTGGTAGAAATGGGACTTCTTCTTCACATCAACTCGTTGAGCCGACTCATGATTTGTACGGTGGCACATTGATCGGAGGTTCGAGCTATGGTAACCCCATAAATTGATTTCCTATTATGTCAACTCTGGATTTGCCTTAAGTCATGTGAAAATTATCAAAAATTATCCATCTTAATCCTTCTCCTCCTTTTATTTTGGCTTTAACCTTTTCTTTTGTCGTCCTAAAAACAAAAAAAAGGTTTCAAGTCTTCTTACCTATTGATCTGAGATATATAATATTTCATTTCCCTTTTAAATAACTAGTCGGACTTATATACACTGTGTACATAACACGCATATGCAAGTAGCTTGCTTGGGTGCAAATGTACAGATATGAATGAGTAAGTCTTGTCAGGTTTTGAAATTCTTACGAATTTTATGAAATTATTGTTATTGTATGTACTATGCTGCTACCACCTTATATTAATCTTACCCTCAACTTTTTCTATTTGTTTTCTGTTTGTGGATTACATTTATATATATATTACTCATGTTTCAACACTTTGTGGTGGTCGTTGGTAAATTAATTGTCTAATTTGATCAACTTTCAAGTGTTTGTTTGTTAGTTTAGTTCGTTAGGTCATGTCTTTTACTTGATTGATGTTCATGTACATACATTACTTTTGATTCTTTAATTTGCTCTATTGTAGTTTGTGCAGGTTGATCTTATAATGTTGTTCATTATTTAATTTCCACTATCATCATATATGGTCTCAGTTCTCACTTACATATTGAAACATGTATATGATTAGTAAGGTTGTTGATAGGATTAGACATTCATATTTTTTCAACATATATTAGTTCAAATTTACATGTCATATTTTATAAAAAAATATAAATAAAAATATTACATTTTACATAGTTGATTGGTTTTTGCTGTATCATATAAGATTTGTGATATGATATTTTACATAACATGACAAGTATGTATTCTTCTTATAAAGTATGACAACTTGATTTAGTTACTATTTCATACAAGACTTTCAGTCTTTAACTCTGGCGGATGTCTCCGTCATATGCATGTTGATGTAGAATTAAGAACAGTGAAAGGATCTCAACTTTCGGCTCTTTTCAGTGCTGCTACATTAATGCATAGTTATTATATTTATTGCTCACTAATTTACCTTTTGAATGTTAGAATGGGAAAAGGGTTTAATACTTAAATTGCATTTTTGACCCGGTAATTATAACGTGGTGGCATAATATTTAGTCAAGTAATGCATGTAATTGATTCTGGTCCAATAAGTTTTTCTTTTTTAATGATACTCAATTTAGTTGCAAAAGGTTCATATATTAATGTTTTTTNTGAATTTGAAATTAAGGTTTTTTCATAAGTTCAAATGTGCTATGGACTTGTGATAATAAGTTGAGTTTTCCATATTTGTCTTATTATACCTTTTTTCAAAGTATAATAATAGTTAATAATCATAACAATGGGAATTCTATCTCCTATTATTCCAAAGTTTTTTTTATAGGCCATTGTTTGCTTGCATGCTGCATAGGACAAAGAGTGTTTTTATCTTAGCTGATAAAGATAAGAAGATTCTGTGCGGGAATTATGCAGCATTATTTGAAAGTAAATTGCATATTTTTTTAATATTACCAATTATTCCCAATCAGATTTGGTTTTTTCTTACAGCTGCAATTTGACTTTCGGCCGCAGCACCTCTCATCTCACCATGTGCTGTCGGCTTTTTATATGTCCCAATAATTTGAATTTAAAGAATTACTGTATGAGAGTATAAATTCTTGGTTAGGTAAGCAATAAGAAGGGACTTGTTCTAATCTATCATTATTCATTTATTTTCTTTGCAATTTATATATGCTTGCATGCCCGGGTTTATTTTTTGGGCAAAATTACAAAAATGATACACTAAATTGGGCGTTGTCAACAAAAGAGACAATTTGTTGTCCCTTACGGAAAAGGTACACTTAGTTGGCTTTTTGCACGAAAAAGATACAAATTTACAAAAACGATACACTAAGTGTATCTTTTATGCCTGACTTTGGATTGCTTATGCCCGACTTAGTGTATCATTTTTGTAAATTTGTATCTTTTTCGTGCAAAAAGCCAACTAAGTGTATCTTTTCCGTGAGAGACAACAAATTGTCTCTTTTGTTGACAACGCCCAACTTAGTGTATCATTTTTGTAATTTTGCCTATTTTTTGGCACTAATTTTGTCAATTGGTTTTTTTTTTATTATTATTATTATACTTTCGAGTTTTGACAAACTAATGTACTAAATTTGATGAGCGTCAAAATTAATGTATCACTTTTCGAAATACGTCAACTTAATTTTTATAGTAGTTATATTTATTTTTTATGAAACTGATTGGCATATTAAGTTGTGTGCCTTAAGATTTCAAACCTTCAACCATATATTCATCTTACAAAATTGTCATTTTCTACCATCAACACGTGAGACATAAAGCCAGTGATTATGATGATGGGAGAGCTAGAGTTTACTAACTGCTTTGTTCAATAATATATTAGCTCTGTTTCTCATTTTGTTCCCTTTTGACAATCGTGTCTCTAAACATAGTATTAGTTCTAAACTTATTTTTTAAAATGATTATCAGCTCTATAATCATCTTATGAGTTCCTATTACATTTTCAGCTTTCTAAAAAAATATATATTTTTATTTATAATTTTTTAGAAAAGGTCATGGCTGATGAGTGTTTAACACAAATATTCCGTCACATCACACTTGGTTTTTCAGAATTTCCATGTCAAGCCACTGGAGAACAATGATATATATTGATTTGGGTTGCAACTATCAAAAAGTCATGTAATTTTCTAATAATTGCTGAAATTGAATTAAATTGAAAAGATTAAATTGAAAATAATGAAAGATGCTTTATATTTTGTGCATTTGACCAGCGTGTTTAACGAGGAGAGAAAATGTGATGTCAATCTCCAGAATGATACCATGGTGTGATAATTACAATATATTTTGTGGTCGTTTATATGAAAAATGAGAGATAAATTAATGGGACAATTGCATTAAGCCCCCTATATTTATTGAAGTATACATTTTCCTCTGTATTTTAAAAATGTATAAAATCTTCTTATATTTGACATTTGTTTGCACTCTTTTTTTTTTTATTTATTATTATTAATGTTGGTAGTTTTTCTTTGACACTGTTACTATTTTGTTGATTTTCTTTTATACCTTCATCATATATCTTGATAAACTCGGCATAAATTCAATTGAATTGTCAAAATATCATGAGAAATTGGATTCAAAGATAAGGCTAGCGCATGACTTTTAACATGACTTTTGGTTAAGATTAACTAACCTCACCAACAAGACTACAATAGTTATTGGTGTAACTTGAATTTAATAAAATTATTACGGCACATTATCTGCATGTTGAGGAGTAAAGGAGAAATTATCATTAATATTGTATTCCGCGGTATAGCTTCACTTTTGTTACTTGGAGAAAAAAACGGGTCCTTCACGTTTTGCAGTTCCACTGAATATCCAGATGAAATTTTCACTTGTAACATAATTCAGTCAGGTCATTTAGCTTAATTGATTATTCTTGGTACGCTAATAACTTGGTGTGAGACACCAATGATGAACAACTACCGCTTTGAAGCTGTCGACAAGACTTTAAAGTCAATTATGCAAGCCACTAGTCCTCCTAATGCTATGAAAACTTTTGGTAGTTAGTGGAGATTTTTAGTAGATCTTGCATGTTGTGCCAAAAAGAAGAAGCCAAGATATTGTCAATGCTACTATATATAAATTTTTCTTCTATTTGGACATACATGAAAGTTAAATACTCACAAAGAACATGCGTCTACAAAATGTTGAAAATTTTAACTTTATGCGAATAAAAACATTCGTTTTAATCCCAGGAGCATTCATATCGAATAATTGAGAATCAAACCGAATAAAAGCGGAAGCGTACCGTACTTCATGAATTCATTTGCTTGATAATTCTCGTGTGTTGTGTTTTTCCAAACGATCTTGTTGAACTGGTGTGGTCTTCCAAACGATCGAACCTTATAGCAGATTTTGATCTGTAGTGTTTGTATTGGATATATGATTTTTTTTTTTTATTCAATTATTCTGAAGTGAGAAGGTGGGTGCTTTTAAAGGGAAAAAGCACCCCTTCATAAATCTGCTCGTGTCTTTTCGTCGTTTGGGGCCATAACCAAATAAATAAGAAATATTGATTTTCAGTTCGGTCCCTCAACAAACAGAAAATCACATAATGGTATCTACACTTTTAAATCCATAACAATTTGATACTCTCTTTATTCAAAATTACAAATTAGTAGATCACTTTAATTGAATAATATTATGACAATTATACACATTTAATTTACATATGTTGTCCAATAAAATATTTCTAACAATCTCCCACTTGGACTACATATGCAACCGAACAAACGTGTACTACTTTATGAGCTCAAACTTTGTTGTCACAAACAAGAGTATCCTTTACCAATCTCGTCCATTAATCGTATGACATAGGACTAAAGAGGCCTTCATCATTTTTAGCATGAATCAACCCATCAATAATGACACATATCAATACAATCAAATGACATAGATCAATCATGGAAGTGTAGCATGAAAATTACATATAATGTGATCTTACATGCCTATTTTCAACTGGCCACTTTATTCCATAGTGAGATCAATATAAAACCAAAATTACAGAGTATAATACACCGAATACTTTATATCTGATCAGAAATATCCAAACACACATATACAATATGTCTATAGAACAATTAATACAGACTCCCACTAAAACCAAGTATCCTGAAATTGTGTCACACCCATTTGAACAGTATGTTCATGAAAGACCTTGGGTATTAGACCTTTAGTAAGCGGATCCGCAATCATTGAGTCTGTCCTTATATGTTCTATAGCAACTTGTGCACTCTGTACTCTTTATTTTATAACTAGGAACTTTATGTCGATATACTTTGACTTAGTTAAGTTCCTACTGTAATTGGAATATAATACTGCTGAATTGATGTCACAATAAAACTTTAGTGGTCTTTCTACGTTCTCAATAATATGCAGCTCAGTGACAATTTTGCAACTATATTCCATTGTTGGATGTCTCATAACAAGCTACAAAATCAGCTGTCTTGACATCCACCAAAATCAGAATCAATATACTCGATGACCTCCAAATGATCTGATTTTCTGTAAGTGAGCATGTAATGTTTAGTTCTCTGTAAGTATCCTATGACCAGTTTGGCTGCTTTCCAACGATCTATACTAGATTTACTTAAATATTTATCTACTATACCAACAATAAGAGATATATATAGTCTTGTAAAGACCCGGGCATACATCAAACTCCCACTGAATTTATGATATACACAATTATCAACAACTTTCGTCTCAAAACCAAATGAGATTACTACCTGATGACATTTATGGTACCACTGACGAGATGCCGGTTTGAGTCCATAGATAGATTTCTTTAGTTTACAAACCATTTTCTTCAGGTCATCGACCTCAAAGCTTTCTGGTAGTACCATATGGATCGTTTCATTAGTGCCACCATTGAGAAATGTCGTCTTTATATCCATCTAGTGAAATACAAGATCAAAATGTGCTACTGTAGCCATAAGATCACTTTCTTTCAAGTCATTATTGCCTTTATTTTCTTGAAGAAAGCATAATCATCCAAAATGTTATTTCTTTAATCTCAAGTGTATCTCCTTAATGGCACAAATTCTTGAGGTTGTTGAGTTTGTTCATCCTGAGTAACCAAACCAGTTTGAGTTGGAATATTCTTGACATTATCCTGTTCAGGTTCCAAATCTACTTCTCGACGGATTACAGAAATAGAGACCTTAACATTGTCAGAAGCAGTAGTAGAAATCGGAAATGATTCTTCCTCAAAGATAATGTCCTTAGCCTTATTTCTCCCCCTAAACTCAACATCCTAAAAAAAAAAATATCCATTTCCCATCTCAAATATAGATCTTTAGTGGGATAAAAAAATAATAATAATAAAACCCTTAACCTTAGGAATGTTGTTGGTATTAGCAGAGATATAAGTACCAGATGTCATAACTTAACAGGGAATAATAATTATTTAATCAACATGCTCACATCAATTATACAAATTTAAATAAGCTTAGTAACATCTCAAGGCACCTAGCACAACATAAATATCAAGTCTTTGGACAATAATATTAATTTGTAAGTGGTCGCCTTTGTGTAGTAATCAAATATTGACAAAACTCCTGTCAAATAATAGTCTTTCTTTTGAAAAACATATTATTCACATGGATATAACTATATATTGTCACATATTTATTACCACAAGTATTAATATATTTCTGCCAAGTATTAATCTTCCTTTGGGCCGACTAAATACTCGCATGAAAATATACAAATACAAACATCTAAAACCTTTGACAAATAAATCTACACAAGAGAGGTCACTTTTGCAACTTCTTGCTTCAATTAAATCATCTTGAATATTAGACAAATTTCAAATAGGAACACGAGATGTACCAAAACAAATTTAAACGAAATGATTGAAATATTTATTTATATATGTGCAATCATTAAATTATTTTACTATATTTGCACAACCAATAAATAAATAATTAACTGAATTAAAAAATTCCTGAAATTAACCTCAATTAAGTGTAAGCAAAGTAGAACCTTAATAATAAATCTAATCAATTATAAAAAATCTAATAACTTGATAACACATAACTACAATCAATGAAAACCAAATTAGCCCAATGGCTGTTATGAAACGGCACTTCGGCCCTCAACTACGGGTTCAATTCCTCAAGACACCGGTTAATTGTATTTTTTTTTT